TATATATATATATATATATATATATATATATATATATGTAAAACGTTAGTGCTTCAACTGATTGTTTTCTGTTAATCTTCTGTTAAAGCATGGTGAAAAGTAGGAGTTATTAAATACTATTACAATCACTTTTGAATTTTATAAGATTAATAATCAGCTTTTTAAGACAGGATTTTCACAACAGCAACGGACTCTATCTATCCTTGAGAGATGTAAGGATTTAACCATATTCAAGTTAGGTAAAACACCGTTTTAGTACAAATTTAACAGTTACTTGCTAATAATATATAACTTGAGAATATTCAAAAGATTTTGAAACGGATATGTAGTTGGTTAATGAAGTTAAGATTGAAATATCTGGAATTCTTAAATGTAACCTGGAGCGACTGTTGGCTTCTTTTCAATTGTTATTAACGATGAGAAAATGTTGCTTTATTTTAATTTATCATTCGACTTCTTAAAAATAAGGGATTATTACTTTATTTAAGTTGTTATAAGAAGTTTTAATATTGAGGGACTGTTGATTTAGTTTAAATCGTTAATAGAACTCTTAACAGGGAGAAACTGTTACCTTATTTTAAATTGTTATTAGAACTCTTAGTAGGGAGATATTGCTATCTTATTGCAAATTGTCATTGTACTCTTAATCATGAGATACTGCTGCCTTATTTTAAATTGTTATTAGAACTATTAACAGCGAGGCTTCATTGTCATATTTTAAATTGTTATTGGATCCCTTAAGAGTGATATACTGTTGTCCTACTTTAAATTGTTATTGGAACTCTTAGCATTAAGAAATTGTTCTTTTATTTTATATTGTTCTTGGAATTCTTAAGAGTGACGGATCGTTGCCTTCTTTCAAATTGTTATTGGAACTCTCAGCAAGGAGATACTGTTGCCATATTTTAAATTGTTATTGGATCCCTTAAGAGTGATATACTGTTGTCCTACTTTAAATTGTTATTGGAACTCTTAGCATTAAGAAATTGTTCTTTTATTCTATATTGTTATTGGAATTTTTAAGAGTGACGGATCGTTGCCTTATTTCAAATTGTTATTGGAACTCTCAGCAAGGAGATACTACTGTCATATTTTAAATTATTTTTAAAACTCTTAACAGTGAGGCTTTGTTGTCTTATTTTAAATTGTCATTGAAGCACTTAACAGTGAGATACTGTGGCCATAATTTAAGTTGTTATTGGAACTCTTAACAGTGAGATATTACTGCCTTATTCTGATTTGTTATTATAACATTGAACGGTGAGTTTATCTGTTAAGTTAGTTATGTCTGCTTATTTCAGTTATTAGTCATCTATACATCACTATAATTGCGGGTATTATCATTCTAAAACTACATTCCAATTTATGGTTTTTTAAGCTTGATTCTTTTAAAACGCTTTCAAACCTATAGCTACTTTAACCAGCAGAACCCAGTGCTGGTCTCAAACTGCTGTAATTATATAATGTGATCAAGTGTGATTAAAACAAAGAAGGGAATTTGAACTCACCATACGGTATAAGACGTTCCTTACCCGGTTCGCTCTGGGTTCGTTCAACACCTACAATCAGTTTAAGCTGTGCTTTCAGGAGACATATAATTGTCCCTAATCCAACTCCAGCCAATTAATCATGTCCTAGGAGGCACGTGTAAGACACAATATTTGGGTACTTGTAATAATGATGGCCTATCACACTAGCTCTGTAAGTGTAATCAGGAAGTGTAAACCCCGTGCCTTCGGTACTCAGAGAAAGGCGTTAGTCAGACTCACTGTCGAAACATACATATATATATACATCTACGTTCTTCCGGCTGTTATGAGGTCTTCCGTACCTCAAGTTGACCAATAGCTAAGCTCAAACATAGGCGCAGAATTACGTGATACGTTCAAATTATAAAGAAAGACATGTATCTATCTGATATGTTCTCATATGAAATATGGTAATTGTAAACCTCTTTGCTCTTTGTGTACTGAAGAGCTGTTTAGAGACTAATGACCATCTTGAGGGGTAGGTTGAGCGTATGGATGTGTCTTCCTGTGTGTATATCTGTAAACGCATTAATATTTATTTTAAAGTTATTGAGACTAGGAAGCTTTGAAATAAATATTGACAATCTGAATATTAGGTTAAAAGTCGAGATGTAAGCATATTTTTTAGGTCTCCATATTCACCAACTTATATTTTTTATTACCACTACCTCTGGATGGGGTTAAAATTTGAAAGCAGGCTCTTATATATATTGCGAATCGTGGTGTCTGTCCAAGGTTCATCTGTCTCCTGTTTCAAATACTGCGCGCGCAAGCAAAGCTCAACATTTATTTTTGAAATGACGGGAGAACAGACATGAATAATGCTGATGCCAAATTTTATTTCACAAGCAGGATATTCTACACTAAACTGTTCGGAACTAACCACACTATTATACACATTTCAAAATGTGACGTAATATAAAGAATAAAAATGTATATTTACCGTATGTTATTGTTGAGTGGCTCTTAGCATGACTGAAATGTTTAACCATTACTTTTCTCTGTGGGCAGTATAAGTATTTCAGAGCTTTGGCTCTAAGTTAAACCAAGAGTGCAACACAATTAACCTTTTTAAAGTCCATAAAATAATTTTAAATGATAGATTAACTTAAATTTTCCCGTCACTGGGGACGGGTAGTTTTGCTGGAATATTTTTATGCGCTTCTAGATTGTACTATACATGGTAAAATACTCTAATCATTTCATTTCCACTTCACTGGTTATTATTAATGACTTCTTCAAACTATTTTCCCAATATCACTTCTTGTGTAGCATGAATCCTGTAAACTCCAGCATCACAGAGAGTGGAATTCCTATGTACCATGGTTGAATCCGGTAAACACTTTGCATTGTATATAGTGAAACTTCCGTGTACAATGGTTGAATCTGGTGAAAATCTCAAGTATAGATAGAGAAACTTGCAACGTGACATCGTTGAATATTGTAAGCTCTAGTATCGCATATAATAGAACTTCCAGTGTCTCGAGGTTTAATCCGCTAAACAATGGTATCACAGGTAGTGCGTCTTCTCGTGTAACATGTTTGAATATTGTAAGCTCTGGTATCGCATATAATAGAACTTCCAGTGTCCCGTGGTTTAATCCGCTGAACAAAGGTATCACAGGTAGTGCGTCTTCTCGTGTAACATGTTGGAATCTTGTAAACTCTAGCATCGCATCTAATAGAACTTCCAGTGTCCCGTGGTTTAATCCGCTAAACAATGGTATCACAGGTAGTGCGACTTCTCGTGTAACATTGTTGAATCCGGTAAAAACCTCAATCACAGATAGAGGAGCTTCCGGTGTACCATGGTTGAGCCTGCATTGCTGAAGGCTTTTGGTCGATATTGAGTACTCCTTAATAACAACATTGCTTTTCTTGCAGAAGGAAACATATTCAGTTTTAGCAAAATTTAAAAATGTATATTGTTTATATTATAAAACTTTACTATAACTCCTTTCCTACCAGTGGTTCAACATCAGATAGATAAAGTACCCAAAGTTGGTCATCCAAATCAGGAAATTAAGCAGTGAAACCAATAAGGACTGGTCACTGACGTCAGGCCATTAGGAAGTGAAGTACAACAAGAGTCCAGCCTTTACACAACGTCAGCTTACCCTGAAATGAGGAACAGTACAGATTGAGCTGGTCAATGACATAACGAGAATGGAAAAAAATAGAATAATAATGACATGTCTGGTCAAGAACAACATGTGATAGAAAGTGGAATGAAAATACAGACCAACCTCCTCAGTGACGTCGGAAGGCTAGAAAATCAAATATAATAACGGCCCATCAAGTCAATAACATCAAAAGATTAAAAAGTGTAGTACAAAAATAGACCCACATGGAAATCAGGCAAAGAAAAAGTGTAGTACAAAAATGGATACTTCTATTGAATACTGACCATCATCATAACGAATGTTCGAGCTGTTGTTAAGCTCCACCAGATCTTGAGTTCTTCATTCATCATCATAACGCCAGTATTCAATAGAAGTAACCATATCAATGTTCGAGCTGTTGTTAAGCTCCACTAGATCTGAGTTCTTCATTCATCATCGTAACGTCAGTATTCAATAGAAGTAACCATATGAATGTTCGAGCTGTTGTTAAGCTCCACTAGATCTGGAGTTCTTCATTGCCAGTATTCAATAGAAGTAACCATATCATCATCATAACAGATCTTGAGTTCTTCATTTCAATGTTCGTGCTGTTGAGAAGCTCCACCTATGGTTACTTCTATTGAATACTGGCGTTACGATGATGAATGAAGAACTCAAGATCTAGTGGAGCTTCTCAACAGCCCGAACATTCATATGGTTACTTCTATTGAATACTGGCGTTATATCCACTCGTTACATTTTCCTACTTTCCAAATTCCCAACTTACTTAAACTAATAACAATGTTGTTTTCTATTCCTTAACAATATAGCTGAACGCTCGTTCAACATAATGGTAGAAGGTAAAACAGTTTTGAAGTCTCAACATTAAAAATAACTATCCATTGTTGTTATGGATTGTAAGGGGGGACAAAAATATCAGCACATGATTTTTACCTGGATGTTCACATGAAAAAAGGTTCAAACATGTGGAAACGAATGTGACTGGCATTAATTGAGGCACCGACATACTCCTGAACATAACATTATTGATCTTTTTTTAAAGACGACTTGGTTTTCTAGTCAATGTGGAATATGGGTTTTATTTGTTCCTCACAAATAAATACGTTTTAATAAAATGTTTATTTATTTTGATGCTAAGTAAAAGTTGAAGTTTTGTGTCTGAAAATTCAAAGTTGCAATTAGCGCTAAGAAGGAATTAGCTACTTGTAGGTCGCCTACAATGGTTAGTGTGTCTAAACTGTGAACCTAAGAATTCGTGACTTACGACCCGTTACTGCAAAATCGTGCTCGCACTTTGGAGGTGTGGGTGATCTACCTGAGGGACAGTCAAATCCCAGTATTTGAGATTAGCCCAAGAGTTGACTGTCTGCCTTCCTTCTTGTCTCTCAGTTTAATATTAGCCAAAAAGTGCATACCTCTGTAGAAATATGAATACCTCCAGCCAATATATCACTCTTAATTGTAATGAAAACGTGTTTTTACTTTAACTATAGCTTTCTTTATGCTGCTTTGTAAGACATAGTTAATACGTTGTTTTATTTTCCTTACACTTTAACTATAGCTTTCTTTATGCTGCTTTGTAAGACATAGTTAATACGTTGTTTTATTTTCCTTACACTTTAACTATAGCTTTCTTTATGCTGCTTTGTAAGACATAGTTAATACGTTGTTTTATTTTCCTTACACTTTAACTATACCTTTCTTTATGCTGCTTTGTAAGACATAATTAATACGTTGTTTTATTTTCCTTACACTTTAACTATAGCTTTCTTTATGCTGCTTTGTAAGACATAGTTAATATGTTGTTTTATTTTCCTTTAAGAAGAGACACATTTTTATTGAAATTTCGTTTCTTCTAATCCAAAGCAAAACTAGTTTTTCTGCACGTGTGTTCATACTGTCGACTTGGGATAAAGCAATAGCTGAATGTACTGTTTATCATTTCGTGTTTGTAATTAACATTTTTTCATATTTTATAAACCCTAACCAAGTGAGTTTCTCCAGTAGTAAAACAGAGGGAATTACCGAAACTTACATTTAAAAATGTATTTTGAGTAAACTATAGTAGTTTTAGGTTTGTTTTGAATTTTGCGAAAAAATAAACGATGGTTATTTGCACTAGCCGTACCCTATTTAGCAGCGAAAGACTACAGGGAAGGCAGCTAGCACCAACTGTTGGGCTACTCTTTAACAACGTTTCACCATAACATTATAACGTCCCCGCGACTAAAAGGGCGATCACGTTTCGTTAATAACCATTTGTCGTTGAAAAACAATTAGGTAAAAAGTAAGACTGGGTAGAATTCAAACCCTAAAGATATACCTTTCATAATTTCATAAAGATATACCTTTCATAATTTCTTCTTTCGAAAATTTCTGATTCCGAAAAAAATTAAAAAAATAATTAGCTAATTTTAAGCCATCTACTAAGTATGTTTTAGTGCGAAATAAACTTTAAGTTATAAATTACTTTACATTAGTATTCGAAAAGCTATAATTAGCACGAAAATACATCTTGTTACCTAAACTAATCAAAAGTTTGGAATTTTAACAGTTACTCCATGAAACTTCTGAAATATCACATATTGTTGCACAAAAATACTCTATTTCTGTTTTTGTTATCAGTAATCTGTATAGAGATATTTAAACCTATGTTACAAATGGCTGTCGCATGTAGGAAAAGTTGGTTTTGGTTATTGGTTTTTATGTCTCTCATGATCAAAATGTTCATTTTGGAATTCCACTAATGTATCGACTTTTCACATTCTTCAACTACTCATTGAAATTACCTTTATGTTATTAAACAGATCTTCATTTATGGAGAGTCAAGTAAATAAAACAGGTGTCTAATAACTAAGAAAAGAAATCATGTGACTAGTAACTAAGTAAAGAAATCATGTGATTAGTAACAAAGTAAAGAAATCATGTGACTAGTAACTAAGTAAATAAATCATGTGACTAGTAACTAAGTAAATAAATCATGTGACTAGTAACTAAGTAAAGAAATCATGTGATTAGTAACTAAGTAAATAAATCATGTGACTAGTAACTAAGAAAAGAAATCATGTGACTAGTAACTAAGTAAATAAATCACGTGTCTAATAACTAAGAAAAGAAATCATGTGACTAGTAACTAAGTAAATAAATCATGTGACTAGTAACTAAGTAAATA